TATCATAAAATTTAGTAAAATTTTCATAAATGTCAATCAAATGCTCTTTCAATGTCTCATTCTTATAGTCGTATTCATTAATGCTGTCCATTAGGCGCTTGTAGTGTAGCCACTGGTCCCGGAGCTCTGGGAATCGTCGGGCCATACCATCCATTCGCAGTCCATAGGGATAGCATATAGTTATGGCGGGCATTGGGTCCGGACGTATGCGCTCTAGTATTATATTGACAACAGTTTTACCCGAGAAATATTGCGCGAAGAGTAATAAAGAGTGATATGTAAGTAGCGATAAGCACACTATGAATAATATGATCTTGATGATTAGTCGGCGTTTTTTGCGAATGGTCATAGACTGCCATTTTTTGCGTAATTGATAGCGTATTGAATTGGGATTTGGCTGTTTTTCTTCGATGTCGGTCATTACAGCCACTTCTGACACATCTGTCCCGTCATCTCTGACCTCACTTTTGTTTTGCATTTCCATTGTTGACGACATGTTTATTATTTAATTATCATTTGGTCATCCTATTAATTATTATCACTTGTTAGTGAATAATTTGCTAAATTAATATTTTATTAGATGGACTATTGTAATTTATAGAAATAATGTTGAATACTTAACAAGTTTGTTCTAATTCTTTAATTAGCAAACAAACCTTATATCAAACAAATACGCTTACCTTTAATTAATAATTTATATTTTATATTAAAATTAATTATTAATAAACAAACTGAACAAATCAATTTATTAATTTTATATTGATTCACCAATCCAATTAACATAAATTTCTCAATAATTCACATAGGTTGTTTTCGCTGATTACATTTACTATACAGTCTCCACATTGAATTAAACGGAGAAATATTTTTAATTAATTTTTGTTTTATGTTTAATGGCATTGAATTTTTCTATGAATTTAACAGTAAAATGAATGATTATTTTAGTTTTGTTTTTCATATCATTTATTTTAGAGAAAGAAAGAAATAGAGAGAAATAGAGAGATAGAGATAGATAGATAGATAGATAGATAGAGAGAGAGAGAGAGATTTGTTAAATTAAAAATATAAAGTTAAAAATAGATTTAAAAGTACACATAAAATAAAATTATGCTTGTTTATTTATTTTGTACATTTTTCGTTATACATAATCGGCATTAATTGACTGGTATTTTACATTTACAAAATATTAGTCGAGTAACCATTGGGCAGATTTTGTTGGCAGTACTGAACCAAATGGTTGAGGGCTTGGGTAGCGCTCGAGTCATCCAATTGTTCGCAAATGTTAACAAATGTGTATAATTTGTTCAGAGAGTAGGTATGCTATCATTAGATAATATAAATAATTAGATTAATAATTAATTATTACAGATATCAATATTAAACAAAATAAATACTCACTTGAGTTATACTGAGGCACTGGTCGTTGAAAGTGTCGACAAAGTTGTGATAACACTCTCTGTTATTGAGCTCTAGTCTAGTATTGAAGACATCATTGTTTGCGTTCATTAAGTGTTGAATACTATTCACGTATTCCTCGAACACAGTGTCCAGGAATTGTCTTCCGGTCGACAATTCAGACAACTTGTGGTAATCACCGCTTTGTTGAGCCATCACTAGCGGGAAGTCCTTGTTATTGATAGTACGGGTCAGCTCAGCATCAGCTAAAGACATCGATGACTTCTTGGAGCCTATGATTATTGCAATCAATGAACATAATTATTAGAATAAATAATAGTCTACAATTATATAGTCACCAGGTGATTTAAATGATATTTTAGAATAGCTATTACAAGTGCCATAAAAATTCTAATTTAGCTAATTTATTATTTACTAATGTTTGAATGAAGGTAATTTAAAACATATCTAGATAACTATTTGTATGGTTACGGGAGAGGCAGCTAAAAACATCGATGACTTTTTGAAACCTATGATTATTCAATCAATGTATATAATTATTAGCATAAACAAAAGGTTTACAATAGTATAGTGACCAGGTGATTTTAAATAGCATATTGGAATATCTATTACAAATGCCATAAAAAAATTCTATTTTAGATAATTTATCATTATTCTGATTTATCATTATGATAGTTTATATAATGATAAATATTGTTAATTTAATGTGCATACCTGATTCGCATGCCTCAATGTAGAACACTAATTTTCCGTAATTCTTATCCTGGTGCATTTGTTTCAGCGTTTTTATTAGGGGTTTGGCGTATAAATACTTGTCGGGGAAGGCGACCAAATCGGGAGCACCATGGTCATCGAAAAATATAAACACGTGATCGTTTGGTCCACTTTCCAGCACTTTCTTACCGGCCTTTTTCATACTTTCATCGCCGGCCAATACTTTCAGAAAATTCTGTTATAATAATTAAAATTAATCTTTAATCTACAGTAATTAAAATATTAATTATATAATTATTGCATATCACATAAAATACATTATACATGTTTTAAAACTTATTGTTATGCTTATTAATTTAAATTGCTAAAACTGTAAATGTATCTAAATGGATTTTTTGTATTATTTATCTCTATGTAATATTATTTTAAATTGGCTGAAGAATTAAATCCAGCTCACTACTTTTGCATTTATTTTTAATTAATATCTTTATTATTTAAAATAATTAATATAATCACTAATCAGGATTACTTACTTGTTTGATACTAACAGCTTTTGATTAAACTGAGAATATTTTTACAGTAATTCAAATAATAATTATAAAAATAATAAAAATTATTACTATTTTCTTAATTTTCTTAATTAAACTGTAAATATGGTTAACATATAATTTTTAATTATTCATTAATGTAATATTAATTTAATTTGGGGTATTAAGATGACAGGCGTGCTCTACCTTAGTTTTAAAACTATTATTAATTAAAATTTTTATAAATTTGATAAAATTGATATAATCAATTATTGATGGTTGGAATTATATCGCTGTATTATTATGAAATAATAAACTGTAAACATGTTTAAATAGCCATCTTATCTTAATCATCAATTAAATGTTAATGTATTTTGGATAATCGCTGACTTCGGGATTTTTGCAATTTTAATTATAATATTTTTATTATTATAAAAAAAATTTTATGATTATAACCGACGACACTATGGGTAGCAATGGTTATGACCAACACTTCATGCAATTAATTGTAATCAAATGTTGTCATCAGAAATAAAGAGCACACTTTAGCAAATGGTTAAAATGTGATCAAGGTCTTTAAATAATTATATTGTCAACAAAACTTTATGAATTGACGGACAAATAAAAATTAAGATAGTTTCGCTTTCATTCGTAAACCTTAGTAATATGGCATATACTAAAGGGTCCGGGCCCGGAAAACATTTTTTCTATGTGCGGCAATATCAGTATTTTGACGGTCGATCGGTCGACCCAAATGCCGATCAAAGTGGGCCCGGATGACAAGGGCCCACTACTTTTCCGTCAGTTTTCACATTTTTACGGAAAATTTTTTATCAAAAAATTTAGTTAAAAATTAATTTATTTAATGAAAAATTAATTTAAATAAATTAAGAGAGGTGTAATTTACAATAAAAACAATTAAAAAAATTTCCGTGAAAATGACGGAAAAGTAGTGGGCCCGTGTAATCCGGGCCCACTTTGATCGGCATTTGGGTCGACCGATCGACCGTCAAAATATTGGTATTGCCGTACATTGAAAAAATGTTTTACGGGCCCGGACCCTTTAGTATATGCCCAGTAATATTTGTAATATTCTTAACGTTAATTTATATATAATTTGATGCTCGCAATTACAGTTAATACAATATTTCACAAATATTTATCTATTATATTAAACTAGCCAATAATAACTTATTTATAGCTCGAAATATTATTGTCAAAATAATATTGAAATAATATTTTTTCAAACTTAAAAATCACTAATGAGTGGTCACTCAATGTATTTGCATTTGACATATGAGTGAAATGCAATTTGATTTCACATTTCACACTTGACTGACTCTCTAGCGTTGGCAGTGCATAGCTTATCTCTAATTACATCAATGTTTCATTTTTTTTATTTGAGTCTACTTTATATTATTTCTTGATACATCACAGGTTATAAACTAACAAATTAAATAATGGACTAAAAGTTGTCAAAATTATAATTAATTTAGTTCAACGGGATTTTAGCTAGATGGGATATTTAGCTTGATGGGATTTTAGCTTGATGGGATTTTAGATTCACAAATAGATATGATATAAGTGTGAAGATATGAATTTTTCGAAGATAAACGATAATTTCCCATGAGTCATTGAATACCTAATGGGTAGTAGTACATTTTGAATCACGGTTACTGGTCAAACTATAAGAACTATAGAGATGGTTCCAATGTATAATTTGATAAGGGATAATAGATGTATTCTATAAAAAACAAATTTTTAAAAATAGATTTGTAATTTGGTATTTACAGCTGGACAAAGATAAGTATATTTCAATGATTTCATATAAGATTCACGAAGTTATCGTTTAACTTTGAAAAATTCATATATTGTTATTATTTGTATTGAATTTAAATACAAAGATACATTTAAATAGTTTTTGGGAAGGAAAAGGGGCCTCACGATCCTATAAATCACATTTTTCATATATGAATTGTGGTTAAAGAATTATTCAAGTTAAATTAATAATTATTTTAGATTTTACACTAAATTAAAACATTGCCGTTTTAGGCACATTAGATTTTACTATTATGATTTACTTATCTATATTATATTTTTAATTATCTTAAATAATTTATCTATATTATAAAAATTATAAAATACTTTTAATCATTACTAGATGATTTTCCCCTCTGCCCTCCCCCTTTAATAAACTTCAACTACAAAATGTTTCAATCAATGTTTCAATGGTTTTGTAATTTCATTTCCTGTCTGTCTATTGACCGATGAGTCAAATGAGTGACAAAACCATTGACAGGCGATAGGGGTGGAGGGCATTATGTCAGTGTTGGCAATGCATTTATACATCAAAAAAGCAATATATTTCATATATTTTTGAGATTAACAAAAACTTTTTCGGAGACAAACTTATCGATTGGATTGCGTTGAGAGACGGGTTCAGACATTTTACGGGCACTTTTCGCCGGCTGTTTGCCGATCGCTAGCATAGCCTCCACTTTATGGGTAGCGTTGGTTACGCCGAGATATTCATACACTTTATCGTAATTAAGGCCTCTCATGGGGTGCACCGCAAACCCCCGGGCGTTGCCCTCCAATGCCATTGCCATCCACGCGGCGCCCGTATCGAAGGTATGGCTCGGGGCTGGCGTACGCTTCCCATTATATAACGAGGTTTTACTCGATATAACAATAACCAATGCGCCGGCATTTTTTGCTCATGCTTGATTTTGGGGCACTAATAGCTCCACAAACTGTTGCCAATGAGTTGTGTCGCGTTTGGCGTAAACAAAACGCCACGGCTGCGAGTTATAGCTGGAGGGTGACCAACGGGCCGAGTCAAATAGGCTGTTCAACAGTTCGTCCGGTACCGACTCGCTGGTCAGCTCGCGCGGTGACCATCGCGATAGAAATATGCGGTGTATCGGGTGGTCAGCTTTGCGTGCCTAGGTGCAATAGTAATTTAAATAATAATTGTATGTAATGTTTTAGGGTTATTGGATTTTATTTATATTTTATAAGCTTAAAATAGAAACTGTAAAAAATGTTTAATTTATTTATAAATTATTATACACAATTATTGACATATCTTATTTTGGGATTAGAGAGCAGATTTGTTGTTTACTAATTAATTTTATAATAGAATATAATTATAAAAAAATACTTTTAATAATTATTAAAAATTATTAGAATTATATTTTGCCACTAAAATTGTTAATAAATCGACATGATAAATGATTTTATATTATTTAAACTGTTTAATAAAAAAAATGTTGTGATAATAATTGTATGTAATATTTTAGTGTTTAGAAATTTTATAAATATTTATTAATTATGTAAGTACATACCTTTAAAACATCGAGATCATAATTATATGTGTATTTTTTACAGATTACTTGTTTAATTAAAAATATGCAAATTGCCGAACAAACAATAAACATGTATGTATGCATTTTGATAATGCTTGTATAAAAATAGTATGGTAAAAATTATGAATAACTTATATAACAGTTAAAGTGTGATAAAATGTAGCAAACTTAACACAAAACATTTATAACAAAATTAAAAATACTGTTATATAACAAGATTTTTATTGTTTATCAATCAAGAATAATCAAAGCTTTATATACTGTTTAACAATTAACTAAAAGGGGAATTACCTGGTATTTATTCAAGGTGATTATCTAAACAATTAACTGATTATTCATTTCGACCTCAGAGCACATCAAACATTTGATGTATACTTAAAATACAATTAATTGAGAGAGAGAGAGAGAGAGAGAGAGTAGGCATGCACTAAACAATATACAATTTATAATATTATGATGATGGATTTTTGGTTCAAAATGCACCTCACTTAAAGTTTATATAATATTTTAAGTATTTTTATATACTGTTATTTTATACATTTGTTTCTAGTACTGTATATTTTTTAAATGTTAATATTATATATTTTTAATTTAAAAATTTATATACGTATTATATTATCAAGTCTCATTTAAAATATACTAAAAACTGTGTGATTTAATAGAATATGTATTTTATAGTATAATTATAGTTATAGTAAAATTTATACTAGATCTCTTTCATTCCAATTTTATTAATAATTTTTAACTAAATTATTATTTTGTCTGTAATTCAGTAAATGTTACAGTTTATATTATAATAATTAAATTTCATTATTACTAAATACATTTACTTATATTTTGTAATTTTCAAGTAAAATTCCAAAGTATTTATATTTAGTATAATTAGTATAAATGTGAGAAATAACACCATAGTGGAATCAAAAAATAATTATTATACAATTTGTGTTGATTTAATTAATGCTAAACCAATTATATAAATAGTTTTGTTAATTATACTGTTTTATATGCACTTTATATTTAAAATTGCAAATTAATTATTACAAATTATGGGTAACGTTATTTATATAGCGATTATTAGTCAATAAAAATATCAATATAATAATCTATTAATAATATTTGAATAAGTGTACTCCATATAGGCCCGAATTTATACTAAATTATTTATTTTTTATATGTATGTTGTTATGTATTTAATTAGGAATTAACTACAGTTTTTATAGTATAATAGTTTAACCATAATGATTTTAGAATCGGTCAGTTTTATTTCATATACATTTAATAAGCATTTTGTTTAATATACTTATATACTCTACACACAATCGCTGGTATATTTATTTAAATTAAGTTGTCGTGCCTTTTTTTAAATTACAACTGTAATTTAGAAATTACACTTAATTTAATATATCAAGTTCAATAATTTATTACTAATTGTGGGCAATCGTGTATACGGCGTATATCATATGCTAGCATGCAGTACTGGTAATTAGTTCACGCATTATGTGAAACACCATTTTTTAATGCTATACGCCGTATACACGTAACCACAAAAATGGCCATAACTTTTCCGTTTCTGGCTATCAGCCCGTTATATTTTACCAATTTATATTTGACATAATCTACCATATTAATTTGGTTTTGTCCGAAAATACCTCGGACAAGTCTTCCGGGCCCCTAGTTAGTGTATAAAATGTCATATTTTATTGAATAATTATTAATTTTATATTGTAAATATTAAACAATTATTAAGGGCTAAAGTTGGTTTATTTACTTTTTAATTTATTAACCACCTAAAGCTTTATATATAAACTGTAACTAATGTTAAATCTGTATATAAATTATAATACACAATTATTAACAAATTTATTTTGGTTGTGACGCGGATTGGATTTTGTTAATTAATTTTATACTAAAATATATTTACAAACATATTTTATTAACTACAGTATTTAAAATTATTTCAATTGTATTTTTTACACAAATTGTTAATAACCCCAAGTGATGAATGATTTTATATAACATTAAACATAACATAAAGTACTAACTAAAAATTTTAGGGCATCCGGCTGGTTTTCCACCACCACTTGGTTCATTATAACCAACTTTAACTAGTGAATAAATTTGATTTAAATAAATTATTTCAAAATTACCATATGCATAATAAACAAATTAATTAATTGTACCTGTTTTACAATAATTAATAAAATAACCATTCAGTAATTTATACGCTTTAATAGCATGATAATTAACAGACGATGCGGTGAATATAAGCAAAGTAAAAGTCATTGTAATTAGCCCTACCCCATACAGATATGTGATCATGATCACTGTTGGTATTTGCACAAACAGAACTATGTACAAGGTGACAATAATCATATTACCAAATATAAACCACACTGATAACAAATATTTTGACCAATAAGTTGTGTTATATTCATTAATCTCGGTATAAATACTGTCCAACGATGTGATAACACGTTGAATATTATATGAATTAATTGATGTTTTACTCATTGAATTGTAAATTGACGTGAATTTCAATTTTAAATAATAGGATATTAAATAAAAATAAATCACTTGCCATACGATATAACCAAAGCCATGGTATGATAAATACCAGACCAGTAGCCCATTGGGAATGCCGCTGATTAACCCTGGTACTAATGGCGTGTACATGATAAATGTAACAGGGACCAATGGCAAAGCGGTTAATGGCTTGATGTATTCGCAATTTATCCGGGTATATTTGAACAATATTCTGGCCATGGTGAGTAATCGGCGTACATCACCTGGGTCGGTGAGACCAACATTATCGGG